TGCACGCGGGGACCACGGGGGCGTCCACGTAAAGGGTTTAATCTGGAGTTAACCCTCCTCAGGGCGGACCCCTACGACGCTCGGCTTCCACGAGAAGGGTTTAATCTGGAGTTGACCTTCCTCAGGGTGGGTCCTTGCGACGCTCGGCGTCTACGAGAAGGGTTGAATCTAGAGTTAACCCCCTCTCTGGGTGAATGTCTTGATGCTCGCCCAGCGGAGGGTTAATTTCAGAGTAAACCTTTGCTAACTCCTGATTACCGCCTCTTCCAGGAGGGGGGGGGCGCGTTCAATCCGACTGCCGATGCCGACAGCGACGGCGACGGGCGGAGGCGGAGGAGGAGGAGGAGAAGGAGGAAGAGGAGGAAGAGGAGGGAGGAGCACCACACCCAGGGGAAGAGCGCCCTGCCCCCGCCGGCGCCTGGAGCGGCGCAAGGCGCGAGCGCCGCCCCCGCCGGCCCTCCGCCGCCCCCCCCCCGCCCAACCCCCCTCGCGCGCGCGGGCGCGCGCCGCGCCTCGAGCTGCCAGGCGGGGGGTACGCGCGCGGGGCGGCAGGCGGGGGAAAGGGGGAGCCTCCCGAGAGAGGGTTAGGGGGGAGCCAGCAAGGGACCCAGGCGCGCGACCTCCCTCTTCTCTCGCCTCCACGCCACGCCGCTTCACCTCCTTTCCTCTCTCCTCCCCCACGCTCAAGTGCTTTGAGCCCTGCCCTCCGCCACCTCGAGCTCGCGGCATTTGAGCGCCCCCTGCGAAGCAGAGAGAGAGAGAGAGAGAGCGTGCGATAAAACTAGATATGAACAATTACTCCGACGGTAGGACCCCGCATGATAATCTGCCAAACTGATCTAGAAGCATTCATCATCGTCGTCCTTCTGACTACGGAGGCTCTCTTCCTGTCTTCTATCTGCTGCTCCTTGCCGACGCTTGCAAGCTTGATTGAGGATGGCCGCATCGGATTCCAAAGGACGCCCGACAAAGGAACGAGGCTCCCGCTCGAGCTGTTCTGGAGATTTAGACGCCCATGTGTTACCAAACCTGTGATTTCAAAAAGAGTCCCGATGGCCTCGGATTAGTGACCTGAAGCGGGGGACCCGAATGGAGGGGCTCCCGCTCCAGACTTCCTCGCGATTCACCTACAGGCGAGCGCCCGAGACATCCCCTCAATGTGCTTAGGAACGAGGCTCCGACTCGAGATTTCTTGAAGATTCAGGCTCCCAGTGTCCCGATGGCCGCCTCGGATTACCAACGTGAAGCGGGGACCCCACAGGGAGGGGTCTCCCGCTCGAGACTCCCTCGCAAGTTACTAACAGACAAGGCTCCCGCCTGAGATATCCTTCTGTTTGCTCAGGAACGAGGCACCCGCACGAGACGTCACCAGGATTCAGGCTCCCAGGTGTTACCAAATATGTGTGCTGTCCCAACGATCCTGTGGTGTTGGGTCCTCGCTCTGAAGAGACAGCGCCCCGCGTCCTCTCCTCCACCCCTCCTTTCCTCTCCTCCTCGCCCTCATCCCTCCTCCCATTCCTGCCACTGCTCTCCGCGTGCCGCCACCACCGACCGTTAGCACCGTCATCACTATCGTCATCACTGCATGCGCCCGACACCAAATTTAGAACGCCCCTCGCACGTTTCGTGGCCCCGAAGAGAGCTCCACCGCAGGCCCCAATTACAAGGTCCGCATGCGCCCGACGCCAAATTTGGCACACCCCTCACACGGCTCGTGGCCCCACAGGGAGCCCCACCGCAGGCCCCAGAAGCAGGGTCCGCATGCACCCGACGCCCAATTTGGCACACCCCTCACACGGTTCGTGGCCCCATAGGGAGCTCCACCGAAGGCCCCAGTTGCAGGGTCTGCATGCGCCCAATGTCACTTTCGTGCACCCCTGGCACAGTTCGTGGCCCCGTGGAAAGTTCCACCGAAGGCCCTAGTGACAGGGCCCGCATGCGCCCGACGCCCAATTTGGCACACTCCTCACACGGCTCGTGGCCCCACAAGGAGCTCCACCGAAGGCCCCAATGACCGGGTCAGCATGCGCCCGACGCCCAATTCGGCACACCCCTCACACGGTCCGTGGCCCTACAGGGAGCTCCACCGAAGGCCCCAGAAGCAGGGTCCGCATGCACCCGACACCCATTTTAGCAGGCCCCATCGCACGTTTCGTGGCCCCGTAGAGAGTTCCACCGAAGGCCACACGGGCAGGGTCTGCATGCGCCCAATTATATTTTCGCACACCCGTCGCACGGTTCGTGGCCTCGTAGAAAGTTCCACCGAAGGCCCCAGAGGCAGTGTCAGCATGCGCCCGACTCCCAAGTTGGCACGCCCCTCACACGGCTCGTGGCCCCATAGAAAGCTCCACCGAAGGTCCCAGTGGCAAGGTCCGCATGTGCTCGACGTCCATTCCAATACACCCCTCGCACGGTTCGTGGCCCCATGGGGAGCTCCACCGAAGGCCTCAGTGGCAGGGTCCGCATCCTTCGTCTTACCTGCCTTGCGATACTCGCAACTGCATATGGTTGGGTCATTCGCCAAGCTAACTACATTGAATTCCGATGGCAGCCTCGGATTACCAACATGAGGTAGGGATCCCATAGGGAGGGGCTCCCGCACGAGACTTCCTCGCAATGCACTCACAGACGAAGGAGCGCCCGAGACGTCCTTTCAGTTTGCTCGGGAGCGAGGCTCCCGCTCGAAACTCTCTCTGTATTCAAGCTCCCAGGTGTCACCAAACCGTTGTTTCTGACATGGTATTCGATGGCCGCCTAGGATTGCCAACATAATTTGCGCACCCCACAGGGAGGGGGCTCCCGCTCGAGACTTCCTCGCACTTCACTCACCGACGATGCTCCCGCCCACCAAACCAATTGCTTCGACATTGTATTACGATGGCCACCTGGGAATACCAACATAGCCTGAGCACCCCATAGGGAGGTGGCTCCCGCTCGAAACTTCCTCGCAACTCACTCACCGACGAGATCAAGATGGTGGATAGGCATGATGGGATGGTGCTCGTAATGATGATGATGACGAATGGTGGATGGTCATGATGGGATGGCGATCGAGATGGTGCTGGTAAGTCGGTGATAGTGGTGACGATGCTGGATTGCCATGATGGGATGGTGATAATGATGATGCTGGAGGATGGCCACAGACGATGATGATGATGATGATGATGATGATGATGATGATGATGGTGATGATGATGATGATGATGATGATGATGATGATGATGATGATGGTGGTGGATGGCCCTGATGGGTAGCGATATAGTCATGATGCTGATGGAGGAGATTATGTCTCCCTCTCTCTGTCTCTGTCTCTGTCTCTCTCTCTCTCTCTCTCTCCTGCGCGGGGTGTGTGCAGAGAAAGCAAGGAGATCACTTGGGATGCGGGGCATAATCACCGTGCGCGTTGGTCAGACTCTGAGCGACGGAGCTCGTGGCGTTTGAACGCCCTCCGCGAAACCGAACAATTCAGAGAAAGGAAGGGAGAGAGAGAAAGAGAGGGAGAGTGAGAAAGAGAGCGAGAGAGAGAGAGAGTGAGAGATAAAGAGAGAGCGTACGATGAGATACAGGATCATCTTCGTGCAGACGGGACGGCGCAGGAGGTGCGAAAAGCAACATGAAAGTGGAGAAACCCGTGAGGGCGAGAGTGCCAGTAGTGCGGTTACGGCAACGAAATGCACGGGGCTTCACCACTACAGTCAATCCGTATAATAAGGATGCGCGGTAAGGATGCAGGGGCCTTGGAAGGCCATGTCGGCACTCTGCGGGCGGGGCGCGGACAGCGAGAGCGGCTAAGGATGGGCCGAAAGGGGAAGGATGCAAAGGTAACGTTGGAAAGCTGCTCATCCTTACTATGCGGGTTGCCTGTACACGGCAGCTCCTCTCCCCACCCGGCCTCCACAACACTCAATACCCCCAGCGGCCCCCTCAAATTCCGGTGCAGCGCCGCCCGTCACCCTTCCCCCAACCCCCCCCCACCGTGACGGGATCATTTTCGTTATTTTCGCGAGAACGGCTCAGGATGAAGAGCAGGTCTCGGGGGTTGGGTCGAGACCTTTTGAGGTCCAGGTCGCGACAAAAATCACGACGCCGGGTGTCTGGCCTCTGTCTCCTTTCCTTCCGTTCCCTTCCTTTCCCTTGCCTCCCCCTCCCCGCGTCCCCGTCCCTTCTTCCACGTCGTGATTACATATTCCTTGTCCCTCTCCCTCGCTTGCACCTCCCTTTTCTTCCCTGCATCCCCGTCTATACTTCATGACGTCTCATCCGTGGCCTTTGACGCGTGTAGCTGTAAAACCATGTAGTCTGTACGCAGGTATTGGTCAAGAAGCTCTCGACTGTCGAACCATTAGATGACAGCGAATGGAATATTCGTAACGCGGTGCACTATTGAATACGGGTCTGAATGTAAGCAATACGTTGGCAGTTGCTTGGGCACTTGTACATGCGCAGCTCGCGGGCGGAGTTGCCTGTGAGGGACGGGCCTGCCTCAACTTATCATGATATGTACGTATTCCTCATCCTCTTCCTCCTCCTTCCCCTAGTCTCCGCCATCCTCCTCATCATCCCCCCCTCGCCGTAATCCCCTCGCCATCATGCACATCATCCCGATCGACCTGGCCATCCTCTTCCTATTCCTCTTCGTTGTAAACATTATCCCTCTCCTCCTCGCCGTTCTCATCGCTGTCCTCCTCCTCCTCCTCTTCCTCCTCCTCCTCCTCCTCCACCTCCTCCTCGTCCTCCTCCTCCTCCTCCTCCTCCCCCTTTTCCTCCTCCTCCTCCTCTCGAAGACCCGCATGGGAACAGCAAGGTTGGTGTGACCTGACCTCAACAGCCAATAACATGCCTCACAAGACGCGGGCGAGGCGGCAGGATATTGGGACGGATCAAAAGCAAAGGGCCGCACTTCAGCGGCGACCCACTTGCCTTGATCAAAAATCCGGCTACACGCATAACTTGCACCACAGGAGATGCAACAAAAACTCCATTCAGGAAGCCTTCCACGCTCACCCACCTGCGAAGAGCGCGCCCCCCCCCATCACCACCCGCACCCCCCTCCCCGCAAGCCTGGGCGGCGGCGGCAAGACAGCGGGCGGCGCAGAGGCGGCAGGGAAAATGGCAACGCCAGGCTGCCGCGCCTCCTTGCGGGCGCGCCGAGCACCCTTGAGCTGCTCGGCGGAGAGGACCTCGTGGTCGAGCGCCGCCTGACGGGCGTCAGCTTCGGCGACCTGGAGGGCAATCGCTCGCGCGAAGTCGGAAGCCTAGCGGGAACGCAAATGATGAGCGACACTCGCCATCCCTTGACTAGACACGAGCTTCGCCCAACGGTCGGTACACTCACTGCCTGCGAAGACACGGACCGACATGCCCAAAGACCTGCGCTGCTCGAGCGTGGCATGGGGACCTTCAAAATCCAGAGATTACCACCCTCCGGGAGACCACCCCAATCCTCAACGCGGGCCCACGCGAGCTCCCAGGCGTCAGCATGCGCACTGCGAGGGCCGGCGCAGGCAAGCTTGCCTCGCTTCAAGAAGCCATTTGCACAAACTCACTGTCCGTGTGAATGACAGCGGGAGGCCGAGCGATGCGCAATCCTTGCAGCAGGGCCACCAGCCCCCGGTCGATGCACTGCACGGGCCCTTCGGGGCCCCCTGCGAACACGGCGACTTCTTGGAATGACTGGACCGCGAGGGGGGGCAGCGGCGCGGGCCGAAGTGCCACCGCGGCCCACCCTGCCACGCTCGCCCACGGAATTCCATGGCCCAAGAGCGAGCCATCCAAGAGAAAGCACCCGATGAGACCTTCCGAGGCTCCTAGATGCATCTTAGCGGGGGTTGGCGGTGTCAGCCTGGGCTGAAGATTGAGAGGGAACAAGAATCGACTGCCCAACAGCTCAGTCAGCTCCGAGGGGTGGTCAGGCACGCGTCGACCGAATGCCCCTTCAGGGGCCAGCCCCACGTGAAAATCAAACGTTTACATCGAAAGTGCCTGTGATATAAGAAAGATGTCAACACGCCCCTCGCACGCTTGAGGTCCGCGCCAGTGAATCTAGCCTCGCGCAACCGAGTTCGAGGCCATTGCCCGCCAGCAAGAGCTTGCCCGAGGTAAACTTTCTGCTCGGGGCCGAAGGGGGGGGGGGGGGGGGGGGGCAACGCTCGAGGAGAGAGAGAGAGAGAGAGAGAGAGAGAGAGAGAGAGAGAGAGAGAGAGAGAGAGAGAGAGAGAGAGAGAGAGAGAGAGAGAGAGAGAGAGAGAGAGAGAGAGAGAGAGAGAGAGAGAGAGAGAGAGAGAGAGAGAGAGAGAGAGAGAGAGAGAGAGAGAGAGAGAGAGAGAGAGAGAGCGAGAGAGAGAGAGAGAGAGAGAGAGAGAGAGAGAGAGAGAGAGAGAGAGAGAGAGAGAGAGAGGACAGGTTCAATCAGGCAGCCTTGGGCGAGATCAAGCAACTTGAGAGCGTCGCCCACTTGGGCCCGCTGCGTGGCCTCGCGAACATGATCGAGCACCCGTCTAACCGAGCGCCAGTGCAACTGCGACGGGTCGAGCTCCAGGCCTCAGGGGGGGCCCGCCAGGTGACTCCGGAAAATTCGATTTTTAGCCTGCGCAAGGTGGCCGCGCAAGCCGGACCAAAAAGTCCCGAAATCTTTCGCCCAGGACTGGCAGCGACGCAGGACCCCCGCGCTCGCTGCGAGCCCTACTGGATCACGCGCCTCGGTGCCCATGCATTTTAGCAGGCAGCAACCATCGCATTAAGCAGCTCTGCAGAGGCCTTGTAAATGAAGTCGACGCGCTTTCCAGAACGCGCCAGCAGGCTGGCCCGCGCTGGTAACCAACTGCCGCAATCTATGCAGCCTCTAACTGGTTGTCCCAATGACGCTGCTGCCGCGCCCAACACTGGTCTCTTCTGCAGCTGAAGCTGTGCGGACGATGGCCCCGCGACGACGCTTAGCTGTCCGAGGGGCTTGAATGCGGCGCCCGCGCGCCACTGCAGCCCGAAGCCCGCCGCGCTTCGCAGCCCCGCCCCCCCCCCGCCGCCGCCAACCCGAACCGAAGTCCACCCCCGGATTCCTTTCAGACCGCGAGGAGCTGCGCTGCAAGCTGCTTGCGCAGCGTAAGCGCGCTGCCTACAAATCACATCTCGTCTAGCGCAATGACTGAGCCAAATGTCTGAGCTGCTGCTTTAAAGCCGCGCCTGCATTTCCAAGCGCACCCTTCGCCCTATGCTCGGCGCCAAAACGGCGGGCGCCAATGCCGCCAGCGACGGCGGGGGGCGGGGCCGACGGCTCAGACTTTCGAACCTCGCCCAGCGGCCGGGGGGATTAATCGCGACATCACCGCGGCCAGACAAAAAAAAAAAAAAAAAAGGAAGCGCGCGCTGCTCAGGCAAGGCCCCGGCGGGCGCGCGCGCGCCCGCGCCGGGGATGCGCGGGCGCCCGCGCGCAGTCACCAGCAGGCGCAACAAACGCAATGGGAACCTGCGGCTTGCGCAGTGGCTACGAGGTGGCGATGGCGCACTAGACCGAACGCATCAAAGTGGCGCCCGCGCACAGGCCTTGCTTAACCCGCGCGCCCGCGCAGCCATCGCCGCCTGCGCCCGCGCGCGCTCGCACGCTGCCTTGCTGCGCGTGCCCCGCAAGAAGCTGCGAGCATTCTTGCTCTGCCATTTTGCGATCCCACTGCGACGCGCGCTGCGCGGAATGCGAGCTATCAAGTGCGAGCAATCGGCCCGGATCCCCCCGGGCGTTCAGCTGGGGCGAAAGCCTTAGCCCACGCCCTGGGCCACCCTGGCCCGAGCTCGACACGGCGCAAAAGCTCGCGCAGCACCTCGAACCCCTCTGGACCGAAAAACAGAAACAGCCGCGGGCTCGCACAATCGCAGCTCTGCTCTGCGTTGGGCTTGAACGTCATTAAAACTTGCGCCGGCTGCTCTACGCATGGTTCGGGGCTCTCATCTTCGCCCGACAAATCGGGCCAAACCAAAGGCGGGTGGGCCTCCGAAGCGCGCCGCCTGGCCCCCCGCTCCTCCAGCAGATAATCAAGTTGCTCTGCCGCGCCGCGTGACTGCGAGCGGGCGGCGGCGCGGCGCCGCCCCGGAACGGCAGCGTTTGAGAAACCATCGTCGTCGCGATGCTGCGGTCCAACCGCCGTTGACCACTTCGCTAGCGTAGAGCGCTTGACTGAGAGACGCCCACCGAGCTGGTTCTGAATTTAGCGCGGGAAAGGGCACCGAGCATGGCCGCGGCGGCCGAAGAACCCTCTGCTGCAGCTCCTGCCCTCGCCCCTGGTAGTTGACGACATCCTGCTACGAGCTATCGAAGATGTTGGCCCAGCGTGCTTCCGTCATGCCTATGAACTGCTGCAACAGGCGACCCACGCACCTGCGATCGACGCCCCCAATCACACCCTGCCACTGCGTCGCAACGAAATACTTCACAACCAAAGGGCCGGTCCTGGGCAAAATTGGTCGGCCCGACAACAGCCCGCGCGATGGGGGCACGCCGGGGTGCGTTGGGCGACAGCAGCGCTGGCCGACGCGGGTTGGTCGCGGCATCTTCGGCGACGGCGCACTCCGCGTTGGACGCCAAAAACTTGCTGGGAACGTAGAAGTCGATGAACCTCTCTGAAGGCCCGACCGTTCCGAACTTGGGCGCGATGGCTTCTCCCGCGACGCCGCCGACCCATCCGAATTCTTTCAATGACCTAGGTGTGATCTGCCCATCGGCGCTCAGTACACAAGGCAAACCAACTTTCTTGATGCAGCTGCCCATGGCACACACAATCTTCCAAATACGCCCACTCAAGCCTTCGCTATCGCGCAAGTACATCGCACCAACCACCATGAATCCTTCGACGCCGTGCGCAAGGTGCAGCACGCTGGCATTTCCATCGCTCACGACCTTCGGTATAATATGAACCTCACTGGGCCCATATCTACTTTGAGGTGCAATTATAACTCCGCCACTGAGGCCTGCAATGATGTGCCCACCCAACTCACGACACGCTGGTTGCAAAGGGGGTGCTGCTGCTGCTTCCCAGCCGCTTTTCTTCATTCTCTGGTCATGCGACTCTTGACGACACGCTGCTACACCAGTCTCTTGCGTGAGATTGGCATCGCCTGAACTCCAAACGCCTGGCCCACGACAAATATCCAGCCCTGGGTGACTGGTAACATTGGCCGTGAGAAAACGAATCCATATGCTGCTACCCCAACGCAGGTGGGACTTAGGTGGGCTCAGACCGCGATTTCTTGATAGCTTGAACGGCTTCACCCACCAGGGCAATTGCACGATGCTTGATTCATCTGGCTTCCTCAGACATGCTCATGTCGTCATCATCGTCTCTGGTTGCGCTCTCATTGGCTGCCAAGAATATATCACGATGCCCTTCTGCCCGCTGAACGGCTTGGCCATTGACTGCTAGCAACCTGCCTGAACTGGCAGCAGGTCAACAGGAACGCTGAGGGCGAGCAGAAGGCGTTGACCCGTTCATCTGAAACATGTTGCTGCGGGGCGGCATGGGTGTTTTTCTGGAAACAGGGGACACGGACAGACGGCGGCACACCCTGAACCCAACTTCCGCCAGCCTTCCGAGGATTATCTGGCGACGGCGAAGCACCCTTAGCCGAGTTACAGAGCAAGCACCTATTCCTTCACACGTAATTAGTTGGCACAAAACCCGCAAACCTTGTCCAAGCAACACCAAATTGACTGCCAAACCGCCATCCAATGAGCCCTCACCCTGGAATATATTTGATCGAAACAGGCCATTGCGGTACCGGAAGGTGCACGTGATGGCTGAAAGCGATGGGGGCCGCTGCCCCGCCTTGCCACAATACTCTCGTCCTCGAATCCTCCTCCTCCTCCTCCTCCTCCTCCTCCTCCTCCTCCTCCTCCTCCTCCTCCTCCTCCTCCTCCTCCTCCTCCTCCTCCTCCTCCTCTTCCTCCACTCATTCTTCTTATACATAACCCCTCCTGTCGCACCCCGAGGCCAATCGGAAGGGCGGGTTGGGCGTCTCGCCGACTTCCACACACTCTATGATCCTGAAACTGAGACGTTGGCAACCGCTTCACAAATGGAGGGCGGGTGGTTTCCAAAATGCGACGCAGGCTTTAGCGCCGCGCACAGTCGTTTTAAACAGTCGCTAGAACTTCGCAGACTGTGGGCGCGTCGTTTTCAATACGTGGTCCTCGCCGTAGCGCCGTCACATTCATTTTGAAGAATTCCGAAATATTTGCGGATCTGGGGCGGGTTGATCTTAAAATGTAGCTGTCGCCTTAGCGCCTCGCACACTTGTCGTTAAAAACTGTAGAAGTTAGACGGCTTGATGGCGGTCCCTTTTTCAAGCTGTGGCTCTCGCCTTAGCGCCGCACGCATTCGCCTTACACATTGCAAAGGTTTCGCGGGATCCCTTGGTTGATGTACCCAACAAAGCGTGTTGGAGCGATTCGTGATTGTCAGGGAGCAACAGTTACGTTGATTCGCGGTGTTGAAGTCCCAGGAATAGCGTTTTGGCGTGATTCAGGATAGAATGATGTTATGGCACGCTTCAGGATCTTCAAACGGTTGTCCCACAACGGGGAACTTCCCTCTGTGCAAATCAACCCTTGTAGGGGGATGTGGAGAATGATCTTGGGGGAAGGGTTGATTCCAACATCGTTGATAACTCTTGGGTTTTGACTGGTCCTCCTCCGCCTGGTCCTCCTCTTCTTCCTCCTCTTCCTCCCCTTTCTCCCCTTCATCTTACCTCGTTCTCCTCCTCCTCTTCCTCCACGGTCCAGGGGTCCAGGTGCGGCGCGGGCGCGGGGCGGGGGGGCGCGGCGAACCTTCCGCCGCCAGCGGCGGCAGCCTCTCCTCGGTTGCCACGCGCGGGTGCGCGGGGCGCGCGTGTTTCATCACGCCTCTCTTCTGTCTGCGGAGAGAAGCACGGCGGACATGTCTGGGCGATTTCGGTCTCCACGGGGGCCATGTCATGAGCATCGAATCCAACAAAAAGCCATCTCTGGGGGGCGCATCTGTTACTTCCGCTGGCTGCCGCCAGCGGTTTGTTTTGCTTCCGCTGGCCTTCCGCTGACGGAGAAGTGCCAGCTTCTCGACTCGTTGAATGCAAGGCCCTTCCTGGAACGAGCGCGTTTCAGCCCCGGACTTTCACCAGACACAGATTCCCAGAGTCGCCCTGGCCAATGTCCGCTAGTTCAAACGAAACCAGGACCAGGACAACATCGGACTGGCATAAATCAGTGATCTCTGAGATCGACCGGTTTCAATCGGTGATCTCTGAGATCCGGCGGCCCCGGAGGATGTAGCGGGCGCCGCGGCCGTTCCAGAGCGCTCCAGAACGCCCCAGGAGCGTTCCAGAACGCCCTGGAACGATGCTTCCTTGTCCTGGGCCAGCCCAGTTTGGGGGTTCCTGGATTGAGTAGCGAAACGCTGCATACACATAATTTCTCGAAGGGGCGGCGCCGGAGGCGCGGCCAGAGGGGCCAAGCGCCGATCCGAGAAATGTGCGCAGACCTCCAAACACATAATGCCTACTTGTTCTTCGAGGCTCCCGCTGCGATCGGGTAGACGTAAGACTCGGGTCAGGGGGACGCGGGTTTGCCCGACTGGGCCATCACAAAAATGACGCGACCCGGTCTGAAATTTGACGCGGGCTTCCGCCGCAGACATGCCACGAGAACTGGACCGTCGAAATTCAGGACGGGCTCGTCAGGAAGCGCACTCCGAGCCTCTTGATAAGCGTCGGGGGGGCGTCACCCTCGCCGACAGCCCCACCCCCATCGCGGGCAGCCACCTCGCGCCAAAGGCGCTCAAACCACCGTCGCGGCGCGACGACGAGGCGAGGTTGACCCCCGTCGGAGGAGTACCCCCCCGCGCTCATAAAGAAACCCAGAGTAGGCGAACCCTAGTTCTGGTGTACTCGAGTCGTACGTTTAGGTCGGGCGTGTCCCCCTACAGGGGGATTTTGGACGAAAAATAAAAAAATAGTCAAACACATTCCAAACATGCGCAAAATGTTCAAAAAATAGTTAACCCCTCGGCAATTTTCTACTATTTTTGGATTTCCCCCCCTGCAGAGGGACAGGCACGACTTAATCTTACGCTTCCCCGAGGCGGTGCGCCCTGAAGGCGCGGGAGGCAACGCCGCCGCTGCCCCACCCGTGGCACGGTGCGGTCGGGACCCTCTGCTCCGCGTGTCGCGGCGGCGGCCCCCGCGACACGCGGCCCCTTGCGAGCGGCTGGCGTGCCGCTCCGCTCCGCTGGGCGGGAGGCCTCGAACGGCTCGGGTCGAGACGTTCACGCCTGGGGGACCGGCACGCGTATCGCGCCGACGCACGCTGAGCCAGAACCAGCGGCGCGACACGCTGACCAGAATTCCGGGCCGCAGATCCCTGGCGCGGGGGCTGGAGCAAAAGCCGCGAAGACCGACCTTGGAGCACACAGGTGGGCATGAGGGACCCCCGGCGGGGGGGAAGCAAAAGCCACGAACGCCGACCTCGGAGCACAAGAGGGCATGAGTTGCGAGGTGGAGAGAAGCAAGGCGGGAGAAATAAACATAGCACTCCATGTTGGTTCCCGTGTTGTCGGTTTCAGGGCCAGCGACTGAACATAAGCAACGCCTGATAGAGCCAGGAACCCCGACCTACTATCACATGCGTGAAAGCGTGAAACCATGAAGATAAACGGAGCTGGAACAAACGGAATATTGAAGCAGCAAGAGGCGAAGAGGAAGGGCACACAGAAAAGGGGAGAGGAAGGTGTCATGGAGGCTTCCTTTCTCGAATTCTCCCCCCCTTCCTGCAGATGCTCCACCTCCCGATGAATATCCCAACTCTGAATTTCCATCCTCTTGTTCGTCCTGATGCCGGATCCTCAGCTCCTCCGCCACACTCTCTCCTCATCACCTTTTCCCGCTTCATCTTCATCTTCCTCCTCCTCCCCCCTCTGCGAAGTTCATCGACCATATCTTCCTCATCTTCCTTCCCTAATTACCCGTACTCCCTCTCCTCATGCCTCATCCCACTTCCATCCACCACCTGCCCATGTTCAACCTCCTCTTTCTCACCTCTCTTCTTCCCATCCTCCTCCCTTGTCCAGTACCCCTTCTTTTGGTTACTCCTCCTCCCCCTCCTTCGCGTCTTCTTCCTCATCCTCCTTTACCTCCCCCTCCTCCTCATGCTGTGCTTCCCCCCTTTCCGCCCGTTCATTGTACATCATGGCTCCTCGGGCGATGGACAGACAGCCAAGCCCGACCCAGATTCCAACGGGCACGATTCGTTGAGGGCATGGGTCCCCCGATTTAGATGTGATTGCGAACACGCTGCGGACACTTTGTTCCGTTTGAAGATCGGCGGCTATTAATGCTGGGCGCCGTGCTTGTCACGTACTCAGGTCCTTGATCTGTCCGTCCCAGCTGCATGCTTCCCCTCCGTCGTCGCTGCTTGTTTCCCGACCCGACAGGTTGGGGTCGTTTAAATTTTAGAACAGATCTCCTGACCCGTCCACCCTGCCTACCGCGGCCGCCAAACCCCCAGGTCCCCCGAGTGTCCCCGAGAGTTCCGCCTCGCGCCACTCTGAATGCCGCGGCCGCCAAATCCCCAGGTCCCCCGAGTGTCCCCGAGAGTCCCGCCTCGCGCCACTCTGCATACCGCGGCCGCCAGATCCCCAGGTCCCCCGAGTGTCCCCGAGAGTCCCGCCTCGCGCCACTCTGCAAATCGCGGCAGCCAGATCCCAAGGTCACCGAGAATCCCAGCTCGCGCAATTCTGCATACCGCGGCCACCGGATCCTGAGGTCCCCCGAGTGTCCCCGAGATTCCCGCCTCGCGCGGACAAATCGTAACATGACAGAGCGGCCTCACAAGATAGCATAATAAAGTGCATCACCATACTTTAAACTATGACAAAGCATGGCAAACCATAGCATAACACCACACCGCCTAACATAAAATCTCCGAGAACGAGCAGCATACCAGATCATGGCACAACATATTGTGACACAACGCGCCATAGCAGAGCAGTGCATACCATAGCACACCATCACGGCAGAACACATTACATACCACGACAAAGCAAACGTGCCATACGAACACATCGCAGAACTGAACATACCCAAACAGAGCATGACACAGCCTATCAGCGCGTGTCACAGCCTGACAGCGCATGCCACAGATGAACACTGCTCATGACACCATGTAGCACAACCCAACACATCATACAAGCGCATGTTATGACAGACCAGAAGTCACATACCATAGCATCGGACATCGCAACATACCACACCATGACATAACATAACATGCCATAACGTACTATGTCAGAACACACCGCACCATAACACAACATCACCATACATATAGCATGTCATTTAGAATCGCAGTACAAGTGGCACATCATGACATGACAGAGCGCTGCATTAGATTTTACGCAATACCAAACCATACACATATAACAACTCGTAACACACCATGCACACTATGGCATACTGGGACATACGGAACATCGCACGGCACCACACCTCATACTATAACCAAGCAGAGCATACCATGCATACCATAGCAGGGGACTTCATATCATGACATGACAAACCATGGCAGAACATATACCACAATAGCACAACATCGCATCACATCGCTTTCCATACAATGATAGCGCATACCATGAAAGACCGCGGCACACCGCACCGCACTACAACGTAACATACCGGGATATATGACAACATCGCATCACAACATATACCATGTCAAACACTGCCAGAACAGGCCATAAGAAGAGACGCCATAACGACGCATGCAATGACATCGTGGACCTTGCAGACCATAGCATAACACCACACAACATAACAACAAACGGACAGAGCACACCATGACATAGCGTAAGAGAACACATCAGAACCTGTCGCACAATGACACACCATCATAACGTAAAACAGAAGGCCACCACTTCATACCAATAACACAACATATCATGCCATGCATCGGGATAACCTATGATAACAGAGCAAGGCATAAGAGGTAATCGCTTACCGTGTCCTGGCATAACAGAGCATAACAGAACGCATCATCGAGCACAATGTAAAACAACAACGCGCATTAACACATAACGGAGAATAGTGTGGGATCGCATCACATATCATACGATCCGTACCACGACGGCAACGCATGTACTCGAACATCGATGAGTTGTACCGTACTGCAAAAGGTAAAAGGACATAGCACAATGTAATGAAGAGAGAACAGAGCACACACAAATCATAATACCATACCATACCTCACTCACTACTGGTACGCCTACGACAAAGAGCTTGACATCACGCCATTTACTCCACCTTCATTGAAGAGGTACGTCATGACAGAGCAGGGTATCTAATACTGGAATGAGCTCTGTACTACGTAAACCGAATCACTGAGCAACACGTAGCATAACATAAACTGGCACAACATCGCATGTTGGAGCACGGTACCGCAAAGAAGAGAATCATACTTCAAACAGCAACAGCCAAAATTGAAGAGGAATGTCATGAAATAGTACGCCGTACGGAAATATGATGAAACGCAACGTGCACGCCAAGGTCAGGCTGGCCACTGGACCAAACAGGCGGAACAACAACCGATTGGACGACGTATCACGCGTGACAGGAGTCACCAGACTGCCCCTACTTTTACGACTACTTCGCTTACTACTACTACTACTACTACTACTACTACTACTACTACTGCTGCTACTACTACTACTACTACTACTACTACTACTACTACAACTACTCCTATTCCTACTACTACAACTACGACGACGACGACGACGACGACGACGACTACTACGACTACTACTACTACTACTACTACTACTACTACTAC